TCGCCATCTTCGTGGTAGTGTTACCTCTGTGGGGGTAAACTGAGACTTCGGAGCCCGTGTCCACTAAAAACTGGATGCAAGAGGGTCGGTCTGTAATGAAGAGGCGGGACGATGGTGGAAGAGAGGCGCTTTCCGCCGCTAACGTCTCTCTTATTTGTTTTTCGCTTGTTTGCAACCAGGTGTGCATTTTTGAGCGAGGTTACCAAACTTTTTGTGGTACCAGCAGGTGTTGCTCCTGTTAGCGTTACGTGGACGAAAATGTTTTCTTCCAGTCGTTTGTCGGCTGTCTAAAAGCTTCTGCAGGCATTTTGTAATGTGCGCTAGTTGTTGCTCTACGTCTGAAGGCACGGCGCCTGGACTATTTGCGAACGATGTTGCAGCTACAAGAGTGCCAGTAGACGGTCTGAGCACGTCATGCAGGCGGTCAGCGGCTTCGCCCAATTCTCGTAGCCCGGCTGTGCGTTGTGCGACTAAACATGCGCGCATTTGGTCGGGCAGGTGGGAGAGCCACCTTGCTCTTAATACCTCCTCATCGATGCCTGGAACTAGACTACGTAGGTGTCGAAGATGTTGGGAGGGCGTCCTATCGCCGAGACACTCGCCGTCCAGGAGTTTTGCTTCTCTGGACTTTGAATAGCAAGCGATTAGCGCTGTCTTTAATTTGTGGTATGGATTCTCTGCCGGTGGATTCAAAAAATGTCCTCAGCGTCAGCAGCTATGCGCGTTACAATGAGTGGAATTGCGTGATGGAATTTGTCCACTTCATTTGTGACATTATGGTTCCGGAACTGGGATTCTAATTGCGTGAACCAGAGTCCCGGCCTGTCCTGATTGAAGCTTGGGACACGAATTGTCGCAGGGCTAGCGTTGTTACCCAAGAACATTGATGCTTTCGGCAGGTGTGGCGTTTCGTCGTCGGCTGGCATTTCGTTTCGCTTCCAATATAAAAATTGTAGCTGCAAAGAAAAATGCCAATGGTAGCTGCAAATGCCCTTGAGCGGCTGCTATGCGAAATGGCAGTGNTGAACCAGAGTCCCGGCCTGTCCTGATTGAAGCTTGGGACACGAATTGTCGCAGGGCTAGCGTTGTTACCCAAGAACATTGATGCTTTCGGCAGGTGTGGCGTTTCGTCGTCGGCTGGCATTTCGTTTCGCTTCCAATATAAAAATTGTAGCTGCAAAGAAAAATGCCAATGGTAGCTGCAAATGCCCTTGAGCGGCTGCTATGCGAAATGGCAGTGCAAAGTAACGTTGCCGATGTCTTGCCCTTATACGCGGCCAGCGGATGGTTGGGTGTGGTGTGACTTTTGGTCGGGGTCACCTTCAGTGGTTGGTAGCGGGATGGTTTTTTTTCCAAGGTTGCGCCAAGGTGACCGCTAAAAGTCTTCGTGGTTGTCGTCGGGGTCACCAATGTGGAGAATTAGTCCTTTATTTAAACACGTCTATCCGACGTGGTAACCAAAATCCAACTATCTGTATTACATTGCCGAAATTACTCTTATATGTATGAGCGAAGAACATCAGGTGATGATATTCGCAATATATGAAATTCATTCTTATGATAGCTTAATTAATAGGAGTAAGAGAGATAGCACTAATGTAATCGCTAGAATAATAATGCAAAGCATAATGTAAGATAACTTAACCCTTAAGTGTATGAATATAAATGAATTTAATATTAACCTTTATGTGCACAGTTTAACTATAATAGATTAATTGCTTAATGTGAGTGCCGCCACATATATATGTATTGTATACTTATGTATATTTATATGTATGTATATATATATGAATATAAAAAAAAAAAAATTTTAGTTCATACTATTACATTTCTGTTAGCTTTCTTTCGTTTACATTTTATTTTGTTTTAATTTCTTAGCTTTCTTTTTTTCAAAAAGTTCTAATTTCAACGATTTCGTGTTTCTTCCGCTTGTTTTTTTTGTTTTCTTTACTCTTTTTTCGTTATTTTTAATAGTTTTCAAAGAAAGAAAGATTTTTGTTTAAAAAAGAGATAATTTTTTAGGTCCAAAAGGACTCACCCTAGTGTTGCAGCAGGCCTTGGTGGGGCCTGCTGTTGTTGTTGCTGCAGGTGTCGTTTCCGGGTGCTCACCCCGGTTGTTGTTAGCCGCTTCCGCGGTCGCTGAGTTGCCGCTATTTGCGCGGTCGCTGGCGCTCTGGCGCGCTGGGTTGCCACTCCCTTAGGCGGTTGCTTGGTGCCGCCTCTTAGGCGGGTGTGGTGTTGACCCGGGTGCTCACCCCGGTTGTTGTTTATACCCGGGCGCTCACCCCGGTTGCTGGTGTGCCGCTCTTTGGGCCGTTGCTGGTGTCCTGGCGCGCTGGGTTGCCGCTCTTATGGGCGCGCTGGTTACCCCGGGTGCTCACCCCGGTTGTTGTTTGCCGCTTCCGTGGTCGCTGCGTTGCCACTTTTTAGGCGGTTGCTGGTGTGCTGCTCTTTGGGCGCGCTGGTTAGCCGGGTGCTTACCCCGGTTGTTGACTGCCGCTTTCGCGGTCGCTGAGTTGCAGCTATTTGCGCGGTCGCTGGCGCGCTGGGTACCCGGGTGCTTACCCCGGTTTCTGAGGTGCCGCTCCTTGGCGGTCGCTGGCGTGCTGGCGCGCTGGGTTGCCGCTCTTTGGGGCGGTTACTTGGTGCCACTCCCTAGGCGGGCTCTGAGTTGCCACTCCTTGGGCGGTCTTTGACGCTCTGGCGCTCTGGCGCGCTGGGTACCCGGGTGATTACCTCGGTTGCTGATGTAGTTGTTGTTGGCGCCGCTCCTTGGTGGTTCGCTGGTGTTGCGGTTGTTTGGGCCCTGGCGCGCAGGGTTGCCGCTCGTTGGGCTGTTGCTAGTGACCCGCGTGCTTACCCCTGTTGCTGTTGGTGTTGTTGGTGTCGCTCCTTAGGTGGTTGTTGAGTCGGATGGAATAGCTGCAAAAAAAAACTCATTGTACAAATAACCAAAACCCCCTTGACTGTTCGACACTGGATTCGTCCATGGCGTCAATTCTACAATATACGTGTGTGTTTGCTTGCTCCAAGTTACTCCATACAAATAAGAAGCTGGAGCAGAAAATCGTGCTCTCAACGAAGGTAAAGTGCTTTGGAGTGAGGAAATCCTCCAGGAGCACCCAGAGCAGCTTATTACAGAAGTTATGGTTATTTGTATTAAACAAGACTTACCTTGATTTCGGCTGCTGCGGAAGCTGCTGGTTGTCGTCTTCTGTACAGTTTGGGTACTGGATGATGGTATGGGTGCCCTCCACCCAGTGGCTTTTTATTTTAGGCTTTTTTTCACTCCACTAATCACTGTAGGGTTTAATTTTCTTCCCCCTTATCTTCATTTCACTAGCACTTTTGTTCCTATTCTTTTTTAATTATTTTTAATGAATTCTTTCTTTTTTTTTGTTAAAAATTTTTCTTTAGAAAAATGTGTCACTTTTTTGTTTGCTTCGCTAGTTGACCGGTCCGAGTTTATCAAAAGGATTTTGCTAATGGCCGACTGCCATCAGGTTTTTATACCCTTGCATTGCGGGAATATTCCATTTGGAAGAATAAGGGGCACTGTGTCATTTGGACTAGTTCCGTTACTCCTCCAAATGGAATTTGCCGCAGTGCAAGGAGGAATATCAAAAAAAAAGCCGGGATTGCCGTGACTCCTTTGCAAGTATTTTTTTCCGGACTGCAAACAAACAATCTTTCCGCAAACAAAAAATCTTTGAAAATTGCTAGTTTACCAATTTGACAGTTTTGTGGTGAATAGGTACAAACGTCAGAATCTAAGTGTAATCAGCCTTATCATGAGCTTCATTTTTCAGGATAAGGCAGAATATTGTGGGCGGTAATAAAGAATGAAAATCAAAATGGAATCTGATAAAAACGAAAAAACATACGTTACTTGCAAGTTATAAAAATAGATGCATATTTAACGATTTCAGCAACACACAAAATAGAGCTTCTGCACGAGCATTTGTGTGTTTCTGTTTTCCAACTGTCAACATTGTTCCTTGCGTTTTGCCCAGCAAAACTCAATTTATTCGTACACCATACAGAAAAAGTTACCGATTGCCACTGGCTCTATATCAGAATATTGATAATGGTGCCGCCAGAACGCTTTAGTACAAAGGAAAACGTAGCTGTCAAACTACCAAGTCACCGCAGTAGATGCCAAAATACAAGCCCTGATATATATTGCTCTCTATATTCTAACATTTGTGTCAAGATATAAACTGAATCCTCCGAAGACGGGCAGTTTCAGACAGCTGTCACAAACCATCACTAGCCTCCGCGGGAAATCGTTTATTAACCGAAAAAAAGTAGGCGAACAGACCTGCAGGAACTAGTGAGAATTAGCGACTCTGTCCGCAAGGAACACAGCTATCGCAAAATGGCAGACATTCCNGAATCCTCCGAAGACGGGCAGTTTCAGACAGCTGTCACAAACCATCACTAGCCTCCGCGGGAAATCGTTTATTAACCGAAAAAAAGTAGGCGAACAGACCTGCAGGAACTAGTGAGAATTAGCGACTCTGTCCGCAAGGAACACAGCTATCGCAAAATGGCAGACATTCCATGCAGTTTTGGTGTTGCCGTACGCTCTAGAAAAATTATTAGATGGTGAAATTTATGACATGCTACCGGGTGCACTAGAGTAACCCATAACGATTTTTTTTAATAGATTCTTCTCTCCTTCGTCTGAAAAGGCCACAGCTTGCTACATATTTAACTGCATTAGTTTTTTCACGAATGCATTCCAAATAAATGTACGCGAATTCACAGATATAAATAAAAATGGACAATTTTGGGTTATATGGTATTGCCTAAAGGGGCGCCTCTACAATTTCGATTTATGCATATACACATACATATCTATAACCCGTTAAAATCATTTCCACTAATGGTAACCTTTACCAAAGCTGGATTTATTTTTCCCCCGTTCTACTACTTTTAAGATACATGCCACAATTAAGACAGTCTACCATTTGGTGAGTTTGTACTGATATCACCCTTTCTTATTCCACCATGATTACAAACATTATATATAAATGAATATGTAAATGTATTAAGCTGCTGTTAAGATAGATCCACTGTGTTTGGAGTGTAATCTGGCAAAAGTTCCCATATTTTCATGCGCCATCGTTGACGTCTCTCTTCTGTTTCTATTTCTAACCGCAATATTTGTGGTAAACGTTGCCAGCAATCCAGCACCTTCCATTTTAAATGCCTGAGAAAGAAATAATGTTAATAAAGCTTCGATGGAAGAGCATGTTTATTACCATTCATGATGAGAGTTTGCCTGATTAATTTTAGATGCTTCATTTGCCCGCATGCACGTGTTATACTGAACCCAATATTTAAATACTATTTCGGCTCGCTTCAAGTCGCACCAGTCAACGGCAACATTAAACTTGCTGTGTTCTTCTTGCACGTAAAATTGCCATGCTCGCAAAGTCTTTCGTTTTGAAAATTTTTCGTATACTTCTTCAGCCAATGTTAATTTTTCGTTGCGCAATTTTAGATAATGGTCTCGCCAATTTAAGAAGTATGTGCGTTTGAAAACCTTCTTCCTAAACTGCTCACATTTTCGGCTATTATCTCGTTTCCGTTCTATTAATTGTTTAAATCTTTCCACTCCAATACGACGTAAAAGCCAGCATGTATAGAATTCATCAGCTTTACACTTTGCCTCAAGTGCTCGTTGATATTCGCGCTCCTTAAGTATTTTAGCCGTTTTTTCTAACCGACGTTTTTCCTTTAAAGCTCTGATACGAAGTCGCTTGGTTTCTTCATCTTCCAATCGCTAAAAACAATAATTAATGCATAATTCTTCCATAGCAAACAAATTTGCAAAAAATCGTGTAACTCTGCCGCTACCAATCAATATATCGTCGTTTAAACTACAAAACCGCGTATCGTAATTCTGCAAAACCGCGTAACTGGAATTGGCTGCCAAAAATTGAATTTGCTCACACAAGCTCTTTGCTCAATCCTTATCCATTCGTCCTGAAATATACTAGCCAGATATGCGATTGCTTTATAAAAAGAGAACCATTTTGAAATATGAGTGTTTTACGCTCTAGAAAATAATTTCTACAAGTTCAATTACGCGGTTTTGCATTTTTGCTGATACGCGGTTTTGCATTTTGTTGATACGCGGTTTTGCACTTTAAACGACGATATGTACATATGTTCGGCTTCAAACAAAAATTGGTACTAGTACAAGTAGATGGTAAATGGGTTGATTGTGAGCAAATTTTGTAGTGTTAAATTTTCAAGGGATCCTTTGTGTAAATATAAAAACCATTTCAGCAGCAAGGGGAACAGCAGCTTTTCCAACGAAAAAAACAAAAACACCGGTGCCAACAAAAAAATAAAAATATCCTTAGAATTAAACGCGAATGATGTGTACGATATCTGCGGGGATTTTGTAACTGAAACAAATACATATTTTTCAAAGATTATTTTCCCGAATATTTGAACATCTAAATTAACCGTAATCATATCGCGGAAATAGCGAATGAAATATTTAATAATGAAGCATGCAATTTAAAAGCAGAACTAAAGAAATCATATAATATACATACATCAAAATCGATAGTGCTCAGCGACTTTCCCGCAGTGTTATCTGCTCAAACGCACAGTATTTGTTGAATGGGAAGACAGTGATTTACACACTATCAATTTCAAATTTGCAAGAAAAACATACGGCTAGCAAAGTAAAAGAATTTATTTTGGAAAGTCTGCAAAGGTATGTAATTGATTTATGAATCCACAGTAGTTTTCATTTTTGAAGTGAAACTTCTTAGGCGGCGGTATCGCAAAAATGGAGAGTGAAATTTTTAAAACTGAAAACGTTACATGAGTGAAAAGGAAGATATAGGTAGTATAGGGAAGGGGAAAAAAGAAATAAAGCGACGCATGACGGGTACGAGTACCTACTTTTTTATATGTGTATGTTTGAATGCACGTATGTATGTATACATATATATGTATGTATGAACGAACTCATTGCGCATTTCAGCTCTGCCGCTACCAATCAATATATCGTCGTTTAAAGTACAAAACCGCGTATCGTAATTCTGCAAAACCGCGTAACTGGCATTGGCTGCCAAAAATTGGATTTGCTCACACAAGCTCTTTGCTCAATCCTTATCCATTCGTCCTGAAATATACTAGCCAGATATGCGATTGCTTTATAAAAAGAGAACTATTTTGAAATGTGAGTGTTTTACGCTCTAGAAAATAATTTCTATAAGTTCAATTACGCGGTTTTGCATTTTTGCTGATACGCGGTTTTGCATTTTGTTGATACGCGGTTTTGCACTTTAAACGACGATATGTACATATGTTTTTATGGATATATTTATGATGAAGCAAACGGGCTTCGTTGATGTACTGATGGGCATATGTATGTACTTATGGACGGCAATGTTTTCGTGTAAGTACATACGTTTCAATGGTTGTATATATATTTGTATGTATGTACACAGTGGCGTAGCCAGGGGGGAGTTGGGTGGATAGATCCTCTCCCCCTTCGTCAGTGAAATGAAACTTTTTATTTTTGAATTAATAACACAATACTATTTTACCCGTCCGATTTATAATTTTTTTATTTCAGACTGATGACAAATTATCTTTTAATGAATATATAAAATTATCGGTTGGTGGATTATGTATTTGAATATTTGCGAAATACATCAGGCCATTTTGCTTAGTTCTCCACAGTGTTGGGAAATACAATTTTTCCTTCAGTACGAAATCTATACAAAAACTGTACTTTTCGACTGTAAATTGTATCGACTTTTTAATTTGCTCATATGCATGCATGCATACATAGATTCCCTTCAAGACCAATGATTTGATGGTATTCACGGGAATGTTTATGTAGGTACATTTACATATTTTACACTTTTAACATAAATGTCAAGGCAGATATTTTAAGATACACTTCTTAACAAACAAATTTTTTTAAGTTATTATGAATGGATAAAAGAGACATCTTCTTTGAATTCAGTACTAAAACTTGACATTTCAAGTGCTTATAAAAACTTTATACATTTAAACTAGATTGGCCATTTATCTTAAAATTATATAATTTTAATTATTTGTTTATAAAAATGCAGTTTACACTTAAAAAAAACCCGTATAAATCCGCAACATTAAAAAAATCAACAAACTTTCGTAAAGCTTTTTAATTAGATTTCCTAGAAACACATATTTTGAGTATGCAGTTTTGTAGCCCGATCAGCTCCGACTTATCGTTGATTTTTAACTGCAAAATATTAAGAGATAAAATTGAAATAGAAAGTTCGAAATTTTAACAAAAGTTTGTCGATTTTTTTTTAATGTTGTTCAAATATTATATTTTATAAACAAATAATTCAAATTAAATTATAATAAAATAAATAGTCAAATATAGTCAATATGTGAGTGTCGTAAAGTTGTGATATTTAAGAACATCTCTTTCTTAATTAACGATGACTCTGTTTCTATATGAAGCTCATTTCGACATTTTGTTTTAATAAAATTTAGTATCGAAAATATTCTTTCAAAACTTGCCTAGGAATGTGATATAATGGTTCGTTCAAAACCTTTTTTCAAAACATATAAAGGCAAAAACGAGAAGGCGAAGACAAAAAGAGAATAAAACAAGTAAGAAAGTCTAAGTTTCGGGCGGAGCCGAACATTAAATACCCGGCGCAAGTATTAAATATATGTTTTTTCACCTTTCCGAAACCTACCGCTAGAAGGTAAGGTGTATCAATTTTGAGTAAATTAGCGTCCTTAAATTTCGAAATATTGAAGTTTCAAGCATTTCTGAAATTTACCGTTATATGAGAAGCGGCCGTAATTTTAGTCCGATTTCAATAATTTTCACCGTTTTGCTTTTATGTGGCAAGCACAATAAAAATACCGGGTTTGGTACAAATTGGTAGAACGGGTACCGATATACCATATATGTGATCATAAGTGGGCGGTGCCACG